AAAGAAATCTACATAAAAATAACATTGAATATTCTTTACTTTTTAAATCTTAAATCAATGTACTTAGTCAAATAGCTTCCTACAAGTGGCTAATGGATGGAATCGAAGACGGTTGCAGAGCGTGCATACACGCGGACTGCCAAATCCCCAGGGTGCCAATACCGGTCAATGTCAAATACCTCTTTTGTCGAATCATTAGAGAGGTTGAGGCGCACGTTTTAAACGTGTAAACGTGTACGTATGATGTTCGGCGCCGCTTTCCCGTAAGCCTAAAAGTTTGACAATGGTGTTTGGATAGTCGGTGGAATCACGCTCGACATTCCAAACACCATCGTCAAACTTTTAGGCTTACGGGAAAGCGGCGCCGAACGTCACACGTACACGTTTACACGTTTAAAATGTGCGCCTCAACCTCTCTAATATATAATTATATATACAGTACCTAATTTATATATACAGTAGAGCGTCGTTTATTCGAATCAATTGGGGACGGGTTGTTCGGATAACTTATTTTTTTGGATAACCAATTATGTATGAAAAAATATATTAATTTATCCCGTGTTGAAATTTTTCTCAGTTGCGTGTCGCTTCGCGTTGAATTTTCGTCGATGTTAAGCCTAACGAAGACTATTNGGGGTTGACTGTATTTTATTTTACTATAATAATTTTTATTTAAAACCAGCTTACCCATCTCACATTCTGCGATCTCAGAAGAAATGAAATTCAAGCAAACTCATTATAATAAAATTCAATTTGCATTTTATAATTTTTATTGAAACTTATTATTATTATTCATTTTCATCAGGAAAACATTTCAAAGTGTCGTTTCAATTTTATTTATTTATTGGAGTGCTTGTGAATACATGATATTTTTTGTTTTTCCATCTTTACATGAATAAATCAGAAGGTTTTCCGATGCATGAGCTGGCCATATACAGTTTTCCATGCGAGAAGCACGGATTCTCCAAATCTAGCCCACATACTTGCAGCGATTGTCAGAAGTGCAATATTCCCCATTTTTATATATATTTTTTAATCCTTTACAATTTTAATTATTTAATTGCTCCTTCCTCTCTTCCTTGGCATGTTGTGAAATTTCTGATAGTTGGATAATAAACTGTTTTATTGTAATTTGTCTTTTTAAATTATTTTGAGTNATAAATTACGTTAACGTATTTAAGTTATGAATGAACACATTTCATTCATAATTATAAATGTCATTCATTTAAAATTATAAATGAAATTGTCTATTTCATTTATAATTTTAAAAGAAATTTGTCGTTTTTAATAGTTTAAGTTGTAAATTACGTGTAACCTATTTATTTATGAATGGAATCCTACGTTCATTCATAAATAATCTATTACATTCATAATTCTGTTTACTATTAACGTAGCTTTTTATTAACTGTTATTTTCATTATTTAGAGTGTTTTATTGATTAATATATTAATTAAATAATTTAATATAGTTAAAAGTCGTTATTTTTTAAATAAAAATAATAAATCTGGATGGTCAGCTTCAAATGAGATTAGACGTGGGTTCGGTTCTTAAATAATCTGATGTGTTTTATTGTTAATTTGAGCTTATAATTTGGTTTAAATATTTAAATTTTTTGAAGAATACTATAAAAAGAACTCGATATATTAATCGTAGAAGCGTAGGTTAAGTTCTTATTCAAATTTTTTCCTATTTAAATTTATGTTTGAAGTTACTTTATGTAAGTTCTATTATTTATTTATATATACTACTATATAAAGCAAGCTACATATAATAAAGTACAGTGTATGTATTTTAGTTTATACAGAAAGTATATATATATAATAGAATGTGTATATTTATAACTCTATGTAAACAGCTTATTACTGTTAATCCTGTGAGCGTGGGTTAGTTTTTTTTGTATATTAAGTTACTTTTATCCTTGAATATACCTTGTTTACAGACAGATAGAAGCTTTTCCTTTACGTATAAGGAATCTATCTTTATTGTAAAACTTACAGTAGCAATGAATCTTTAAAATTAGAAGAATTTTCTGTAATTTTTATCATAAATCACACTTATATTTCCAATCAAAGAACTTTACTTTGAACATTAATTAAAAACTTACGCACTTATCTATGATTTCTTCATCGGAAAATGTACATAAAGTAATTCTTTACGTAGAAATTAACTATAAAACAGTAAAAAATCTAACCAAAATTAATGATATATTAGTAAATGAAACTAGTATTTTGTAGCTATCGATCAAAGGTATGAAATGATAGGAAGAATAATAGTAATTTAGTATAAACGAAGGTAAATGGAAGAAGATACATTTGAGTAAAATTACTAAAGAAGTAAATAAAGAAACAGGGCATTTCTTATCTTTCTTAGTAAGAGTGGTACCAATTTATCTCTTGTATCAAGCAGTTGCATACAGATAACTATTACGTTCGACATCAGTTACGAGTTCAATGCACCCTTTGTCATTCCAATGTAATACTTCTCCGTAGATGTCATAATTCTAAATCGTTACTTCTATCGATCCGTATACAAAAGCCTTCTACATATCCAATACCCCATATAACGTTTCTTTAGGGGGGTAAAACGATAGAGGATCAGGTACAAAGCCAACTGCATTCTTTGTCTTGTCTCCTCTGCATCCCAGATCCCAGAGTTTGCATCCTTGTTTTAGAATTTCGACATCGAAATGGTGGCCCTCTCTTCTTACTTCTTTTTTTCTCCCCCTTACTACATTCATCTGTAATACTTTCGACGTTGAATTAATCGATTATTTCAGATGAAATCCAATATTGGCTAAAGAAGGAATTCTTGTGTTATTTTAAAATGAAAATGTCATGCGAGGGGTCGAGTTTCTTATCCCTCTAGAAATGGCTTTGAATGTAATTTCACAATGGTGATTTTATGTGGTTTGTGTACACGTAACAGGGCTTTCAATTGGGTAAAGTGATAATGAAGTATTGAACTGTCGAAACTCTGTACAAGCAGGTAAAATAAATTTATTTTTATAAGAAACTAAAACTAAATAATAGTGTAGCATAAAAGTCTGCATATTGCTTATTCATTGATATTATGTTATGTTGAAAATTTAATGTGATATGAAAATATACACTAAATTTAGATATTTTTTCAAATTCCATCCTGTTTCTAGTGGTGAAAGGAAATATATTTATACAGAAAATCCTTGTTAATTCAAACTCATATAGTTCAAAATCCAGTTAGGTTGTAACCATACTATTTGTCCCAGCTGGGGATATGAAGATTTACATGTTAAGGAATTCAGTTAATTTGAAATACAGCTACTTTAAAATTTGAAGTGAAAATTTTGTCTTAACTGTGATATGCATATGCTAAATTGTTTGTTTAGATTGAAATTACTCCATACTATAAGAGAACAGTAGACCAAGAACAGCTCTAATCTGGTGAACATGGCTTTGCTTTTACAGTAACACATTTTTGGGTGTTACCTCTTTTTTTCTTATCTCATAAAATATGGCTGGTTTTTGGGATTGCAAATTTGGGCTACAAGTAGCAGATTAAGATATTTGTAGAGCTCTTGGTTACTAGATTTGGGTTACCTTTAAAAATATTTTGGGCTACATTTTGAGGAATTCTGCTTTACTTTTTATAAACCCTATCTGGCAACCTGTGAGATTCTCACCAGCCATATGGTTTTTACCTATAGTGTATTTATATTATTAACATTACATTCATTAACAAAAATACCATTCTGTATACATAGCTGTATTTCATTTCTTAATAAATTACATCAGGTACAACATTTCGTATATCATACAGAAATATGTAAATCTTGGATAATTCAAAACTCAATAATTCAAAGTCATGATTATTTGCCCCTTTAATTTCAAACTAATGAGAATTTCCTGTAGTATGATTATGAAAGTTTTAAGGTGTCTCATTAATATATAAAAATTTCTTATTTTAAATATTTGTATACACAATTAGATGATTTTTACATTTAGAATATTGCTATAAACTATATGAGATCTTATTATTATCATTATTATTATCTTATTATTATTTTTTACAGGATAAAAATGATATAAATCCTGGAGAATATGTTGATCTTATTTACGGTGATCGGATGAGAACTCTGTCTGATAAGAAAAAGGTACTATGCTGATTACTTTAATACAGATATGTTAGAATTATATTAGTTATATATTAAAAGCAAAATAAAAGTATTTTTGATTACTTTATGTTTAGTAGAACTATTGTCAAAATGTGAACAAAACATTCTCTACTTTTGTTATCAGTAATAAATATATTAAAGATGTTTGATTTTTACAATAGTAAATGTTATAAGTTAGTGATATATATAAAAATCTGTTCTCAATAATTTAGGTAATTGACATTTTTCTTTTACCCCACAAGGAGTAATATGTTTGAAATTAGTTTTTGTCTAAGCAAATCTAAACAGTCTGTTGTCTTTTATATTGAAGAAATTTCATTGACAAAAATGTCAAAATACAGTATAACTTTTGAAAAGTGGACACTATCAGAACCAAGAGGTTTGTTTGTTGTTTAGAGGTGTTCACTATTAGGTATGTGGTATGTGCTAGTGGCTGTACCTCCTAATATTGTATTTTAATGTGGTCACCATATAATGAAGAATATGATCGATAATGGAAACATCAAATTTGCATTAAGAATGTGAAAATACCAAAAAGTATACATAGCATATATAATTGAAATATGTATACAGAATGTCTTTCTCTACTGATGAAAACTGGATATTATAAACTGTAAATTATTTTACAGTGTATACAGAATATTATATATCTTTTCAGCTGTAAAAATCTCATTTTAATTGAATTCTAACTAACAAACAGATTGGACAGGTTACTTTAAATGGAACATAAAAATTATTACAAAATGTAAACATTGATTAATTATGAATTTCCACAACAATACCTTATCTCACTGAGAATTATTTATTAGCTTCGACAAATGTTTTCAACCTGTTCTACAGGCCAACTTCTGAATTAAGAAGTATCTGGCTGAGTATTAATTAAGGAATAATTATTAACTCATCAAAAAATAATGTGGGCAAAAGTAATGAAAAAGAAAAATGAAACTATGAACAGCAGAGTGGACAAAACCGGTTTAGGTCGTGAGAGTTTGAATGTCTAGTGTACAAAGGTGATTTGCTACCACTTCAAGGATGGGTAATGTATTCGGTATTCTTGCATTTATAATATCACGATTTAAGAGACTAATAAAAATGGATACAGTGACTTGTCTGCTTTGTACTTATCAAGTAGGTTTAATTTTTCAAATGATTTTGCTTTTTTCAATAACTGATATATTAAAAATTACACTTTAGCCAACACAAAGCTGTTAGGATCATAAAATGACATCATAAATGTGAGAAAACAGAATATCTTCCTACATTAATGAAAGTAACACCTATACATGATTTCCAGCAAATAACTATAAAGTTCTAACATAAATGAGGTGTAGTTGTCTTAGTCTTTGAGGTTTCTTGAGGATATTTAATATAACAGAATTCTTACACATTGGGATTATCTTGCCTTTGATTGTCTTTCATTTCTGTAAATGCATTTTTTTTGGCTAATTATTTTGCTTTGTGGTGTATGAAATCTTTTGGATTTTTAGTAAATCTGACTTCTAATTTAAAACTGTTGTATCCTATGTTGTAAGTTTCTGAACACTTTATCCTTTCACAAGAAGATATGACTTTTGTTCTAGAACTGATGCTATTGTAATAATTTATAATTCAGTTTTGATAAATCTATAATTGTTATTTTTACTCTTACACATGTACTGTACATCTAATATATGGATTGCAGTACAATAATAATAAAAGTATATGAATACACAATTCAACTGATAATATAGTTATCTCAAATGATAACCTGTTTTTATTCATTCATAAACTTTTATTGTTATTGTGCTGCAAATTAGCACGTAGTCAGCTCATTTGTTTTCTTGTAGTCAGATAATTCATTATTTTTTAAATCTAACCTTAATTATTGTAAACTATTTACAGCTATTATTTATATAGTAATAAACTTTACCCGATTTCATAGATTTTAAATTAAACTATGATTTAATTAAAATGAACACAAAGTCCATTGAAAAAGATCTTCTTCTATTTAGTTTTATGTTCTGGAATACATTTTGTGAAAACCTGATCTTTCAGCTTTCAAACCTTATGGGCTAGTTTATTTTTTTATTAAATTACTATCTGGAATTTTAAAAATGGAAACATTTTATAAAAATTCATTGCTATGGGATTGCTTTTAATCTACATACTACCGGCACTTCCTTCAATGTATAAATGATTCAAGTATCAGTATGGTTCTAATGCAATATGGATTTTGTTTTTGCTTCAATTTTTAAGAAGTGTTTTATCTTTTAATTGGATATTTTTTCATGTTTTAAAGAAAGTTTTTTTAAAGTTTTAGACAACCAAGTAGCCTAAAAGAAATGGTCAGATCATTTTGAGATTATTCCAGAACACGAAAGTGAATAAAAGATTACTTATTTTTTGATAGCCTTTGTTATCATTTCAATTAATAAAAAATTACAATCTAGAATTTTAAAAATTAAATTATGATATTAAAATATAATTTTACTTTTTAGTAGTACATTGTAATTACAATTAAACATCCGATCCCAATCCCAATACATGGGATGAATTGTACATAAGTAATAGTACCAGTATAGAAATATTTAATTTCTTACATTTGATATTTTACTTAATATATTTAATATTTTGTAATTCAAGAATTTTTAATATGAGTGACTCATAAGTCTAAGAACATTTTGGATCTCAGTACCAAACTTAGAAGTCTTTTAATTATTACTTGGACTCAATACTAGATATAAAATTACAATTTGAGAACATTTTTATATGGAATAATTAGCAACTGTTCTGTGGCATATTCTCATTTTCTGTAAAGGCTTGCCATTTTTTTCTCTTTTTCTGGTAACAGACTAATAGTAACAGAAGTACTTCTGTTACCATCAGTGTTACTCTTAATAACTTTACTATCCAATTCTTTTCTTTTCAACATTATCATCACTTCACATTGTCTCTGTAAATATTTTAAAATCAAACTCATTTTCACTTTTGATGTTTTCAAAATTTTTACAAGTTTTTTTTTTCCATTTTTAATGAATGGAAAAATTATTTAATGACTTGCAGTCATGATTTTACACATAATGTCAGAAAAATGCTTATATACAGTAGTTGTAATGTAGCTGCGACAATGGTACCACCAGACTTGTGATATATACTAGTAATGGTGCTATAATGATGCTAATTTGCAATTTACAATGTAGCTGCTGCAGCACCATTGGAGTTATAATATACACTATGCATTCTGCTTTATGGCCACAACAGACTTGTGGTGTAAACTATTGATATCACAGAGGCATCATTGGAGTTTTGTTGTATATTATTGTTGTTGTTGTTGTAGCAGTGCCATTAAAATTCAAAGAGTTAATATTGAAAATTCTTTGTTATACAATAAAATTGTTGTTTTGTTATTTTCATTTATGAAATTTTATTTTAGAAATGCAATTCATTATGCTTATAATTGTAGTTAGTGGTAAACAGGATCTGATTTCAAATTGAAATTATAGAGTAAAGTATTAATATGAAACTTAAAGGATGAATGAGGAAATTAATATTAACTAGTATCAAACATATTTAATTGTGTTCAAACATTTTACTGTGATACAAATGTGTTTAAAAAGTACTTAATCAAAGTAAAGATGGCTTAGTAACTGGAAGCATTTGCATATTTATTTATTCATTTGTTTCATCTTTACTTTGACTAAGTAGTTTACCCATGTTTGTATTTATTTGAAAGTATTTGTCATTGTTTTATTGTAATAATTTAAAAATTTATAACTTATTTTTTATATTTACTTATAACAGTAATTCATACAGAAAATGTTTATTTTTTAATGATATGTAATTTTATGTAGGTTTTAGAATTGTATGAAAAAATATTTGGAAAGCTCGTAATTTCACAGCCACTTCAGTTAAGAGTAACTGATAAAATTATTCAAGTTGGATATTCATTCTTGCCTAGACTAGGACATTTTCCATCTTCTAATCCTTTATTTCCTCTGCATAACCAATTAAAACCATTACAGTCATTAATGAAATGCATTGAAATGAAATGGTTGGCTATTTTGGTAAGATTTTGATTGATATTTTTGCTGAACTTAGAAACTACTAAAAAATAATAAAGTGAATCCGACTAATTTATGCTATTTTAAATTCATTTATATTGTCAGGTTGGTTCATCATCTGTTGGAAAGACATCAATAGTTAATTTATTAGCAACTTTAACAGGACAGAGTTTATTTATTTTCACAGTGAACTCAGAAATGGACACCACTGATTTACTTGGGGGATTTGAACAAGTAAGTCAATTGATTTTTATTTAATTAAAAAAATGAAAAATATGATCATTCATTATTTTAATATTTCTTAGTTATTTGTTGAAAATACATTATTTAAAATGCACCTTTCTTAATTATTTTTGGCTATTATTGAATTTATGACTATTTTTTAAAAATTTATATTACCTTTTCTTTGGATAAATAATACTTTTTCTCAATATCAAAATATTTTTCTTTGTCACAAATTTTAATTCAAAAATATAGCACAGTTTTCTTCATTTATTTTTTTCAGATTTGAATTTTTTAATTAGAAATCTCTTAAGAGGTTTCCTAAGAATTTTGTTTTAACAATTAGGCAGGTTGTATGACTCTGTGATAAGTATAAAGGAATGTTAGAATCACTGAAGAAGTCAGTTTTCTTTCATATTTCAGATTAAACATTTTTTGGGACTGTACATCCCATCATCAGATCCTATAGAAATTGGAATGTTTATTCTAATTGCACATCTTGTTCAGTGTACTGTACATGACACACTACTATAGGAGGAAGCAAACATGGCTAAACATGGCTTGAGTAGAACTCTCTTCTAAACTGTTTGAAGTACAGTCGATCCCCCATAACACTGTTGATTATTCCATTTTATATGAATTCCATGCTGTACGAGTCACTTAGATTTTACAAATACATGTGCTGGGCTATGAACGGCTCACGTATTTGTAAAATCTAAGTGACTCGTACAACATGGAATTCATATAAAATGGAATAATCAACAGTGTTATAGGGGGTTGACTGTACAAAGGTTTGAAAAGCTGTTTAAACAAGCATTTCTTGTAAAAGTGAACTGAAAAAGGCTTAAGAAGAGCCAAAAGTTTTTTTGAATATTAAACAAGTTTTCATTACCTTAAGGAGCACGTTGTCTTTCTTTCTTTATAAAGATGGTGCCATATTTTAATTTTATGAAAAATATCTATACTTTCCTTTCTAGAAAATTATTTTTTTCTAAAAAACAATCTTTGAATTTGCATTTAAGGCTACTACACATGGCCAAATGAATTTTAAGCTTTGGCTTTTTTTGTGTGTGTGTGTCTGACTTATTTGAATATACAGTATGTGGCAACAACAGAAGGTGACAAGAAGCTAAGTAAAAGCAACTAATGACATATCATTAGTTTGCTTATTTAGCTGCTATGAAAGGAACTATTTACTATCATTTGGAATGGATTATGTCATTGGTTAGCTTACTTAGCTGCTTGCCACATAGCTCACTAATCAGTCTTTCACTCTGGCTTTACCCTGTGATTAAAGCAGTCAAAAAAATTTAATTTGAAGTTTGACGATTTGTTTCTATAAGTGTATGTTTTTTCAATTTTTTTAAATGTGAAATAGTTTTCTATGCTGTTTGGTACAAAAAGCTAGAGGTACTTTGATGTTTAATTGAAAAAAATAAAATAAAATTTGTGCAAATAATATAAATTTATTTAATTTTGCTGATAAGTAAGTTACAATTATTGCTCCTATAATTTATTAAATTAACTAAAATTGAAATATTCTTCTATTTGAAATTTTAATTAAGCATAAATTTTTTTAGAACTTATCACACAGGAAGTTTGGGCCAATGGTAAAATAGACTTTATTAATTACAGGAATGGATATGTATATATGTATTTTAGGTATTTTCACCTAAAATGCTTGCAAAAAAAATAAATAAATAAAATAAAATTAATAAACTAAAAGTTGTTACATAGATGGATTTTGTCTTTTGTTGCTGTTCTAAGATAGACTATGTGATTGAAAAAACTTATCTTTACTAATCATTATCAAATTCAGGTAATGATTAATAAAGATAAGTTTTTTCACTCACATAGTCTATCTTAGAACAGCAACAAAAGACAAAATCCATCTATGTAACAGCTTTTATATCTATGTAACAGTTGGTTTATAAAACAAGTTGAAAAATAAAAACTATATATATTTTGGAATAAGAAAATATTGCAAGCATAAATTAATTCTAAATAAAATCAATCTTAATATTTTATAACACATTATTAATATATTTGAAAAAATAAAAGAATATTAATTTTATACATATAATTATTATAATATCAATGAATTTTTATGTTTACTAATAAGTAGTTAATTAATTAGCCATATTGTAATCAGATAAGAATCTATCTTTATTATTTGAATATTTATATAACACAGAGAAAGTATTATATTCCTGTTTTTATTTTCATTATTGTTTGAATGATTGTATTCATTTGCAAATATTTTTAAAGTTGATTTCAATTTTGTGAAAACTAGTTATTTTAAATATATATATATATATATATTTTAAATGTTTGGAAGTATAAAGAACTTTAAGTAGCTATTCTAAAATATTTTTTTAATTAAAGATAGACTCAGATAGACCTTATTTTCTCTGATATAATCTATGTGTTCCATAAGTTAATTATAAAATGTTTACAAAATAGGTCACTTTGACTAAATTTATAGGAAAGTGTTTTGGATGATAAAACAAAAAATTAATATGAAAACTTATGGAATTAAATGAAAAGTTTTAATTTTTTGGGAATGATATTAGACCAACTTATTATTTTCATTCAGGAAATATTAGAAATAAAAGTGAGTAATATAGTAAATAGCCTAATCATACTTAATAGTTTCTAAGATATTTTTAATATTTACTATATATCTTTATTTTTTATATATATGTTTCTGTTATATAATAAATAAATAGAAATTTTTGCAATCATGTTATTAGTTAAAATAAACAGTTTATTAAAATGTATTCATAGATATATAAGTTTAAACTGAATAATTAGGAAACTTAACAATATATTACATAGTTTATCAATAATAAAACTATCAAAACACAAAATTCAAAGATAGAATTTTATAATATAATATGATATGAAATTGTGGAGACTATCAGCAGTATAAATTGGAGTATAGGAATTTTTGCTGATTCTTATAAATGGGTATATAAATTCTAGTTCTGTCATTGTGGTTTAAAATATAGGTGAGTAATACTATGTAAGTTACAGTTAGCTTTCATACAATAATAATATAAAAAAAATCTTACATTATCATTAATCAGGTTTTTCAAATTGCTTTAGTATACTGTATACAAGAGATTGAACATTAAAGAATCTGAAATGTATGATATAATCCTGACTCTGTGTTTGAATTAGTTTCAAATTTATTTTATCATTCTTGAAAGCTGTCATGAAAATGAATTATCTTTCAATGCCATTTCAACTAATGATTATATAATGTCTGTGAAATAATACAGTAAAAATGCAGTTTAAAAGCCAAAATGGATAATTATATGCTGTTTTAGGAATTGAGCAAATTTTATTCTTTAAAAAGAAAAAAATAACTAAATAAGCAATGAAAGTAAATGAGGTCAAATTTTAGTTTTGAAATTTGTTGAATGCCAATCAATTCTAATGCACCTTTTGTAGCACATTATGTGTAATCTCAAAGCTAAGGAAGAAAGGAAAGAAATTTATTGTAGTTTTTAAGTAGATTGATTTCAGCTTAATAATTTATTAAATTGTAAGTAACCAATTTAACCTTCAAGTAAATATTATTATAAAAATATTTTGATAAGTGTAATTAATAGAATCTAACTATAATTGTAGATATTTGCACAAATTGATAAATTAAGAGCGATGCTGTTACAATAATATTTATTAATTGATATTCTAGCACAAATGCCTACATTTCACGCTCATTCTATGCTGCTAACAATGTTATCCAGTGACATTAGTTACATATTTTATTTATTTAATTATATATGGATTAAACTTTTCTTTAAAGTGTTGTAACACTTGAACATATTTTATTACTTAATCTCTTGGATATCATTAATTTGACTTAATAAAAAAACACCAAATTTTTGTTCAATTCTCTAATAAATTAACCAATTCTAACAAAGTTATTGTTATAATGTAAATCATTATTACTAACTGATGTTGTATGAATAAATGATAAAAAGTGATATAAGATTGAAAATTTTGTATTCATTTGTATCACTTTGGAACTCTGTGGAATTGCAGAAAAACTTTGCTTTAGTTTGTTGTCTCTCTTTTTAAATGGGTAATAGTTTGTCAATAAAGACTAATCAAGTGGAAGTTCACATCATTTACAGTTAAAGTTTCTTATAAATTCCTTATGATATCCTACTACTATTACATTTTTAAAATTTAAATAACTCATAATAGTTGCAAATTTTTTTATATAACATATTTTGAATATTTAGTAATAAAGAAAATATTTCTTTATTGTAAATATAGTTAAAATGTAAGATAAAGCATTTTTCAGTTATTAACTTGTAATACTTGGATATAAACTTCAGATATGTTAATTTTAATAAAACAACTTTTTATTAAAAGAGCACATTTTTAAATTCAAAAGTAAATAAAACAGTTTGATTTAAAAAAAATTCTTTTGAATCAGAACTGATTGTTCATTTTCAATGATTTTTTAAAATTTATATTACAAAGTAAGAGAGTATTTCAGAATTTTTTTGGAATGCTATATATATATATATATATAGCATGAATCATTTGATATAAATGTTTATCATGCTTTCTTGCTAACNATATATATAATATTATTTATTAATACCATCAATTTTTTAATTGAATACATCCAGTACTAATTTATTTTTTGAAGTAGATATGAACTAAAAATAAGATAATAAATCAGAATTAATAAATAAAACATCTTATAAATAAATGAATAAATGAGAAAATTTGTTTCTTTGTGGCACAGTTGTAACTGTGAGAAGCCTTTGTAGACACTTTTTTTATTTGTATTCATAGTGTTATTGAATTTTGTCAGTTTTTCTTTCAACTTTGCTTCTGGAAATTTATCTTTCTTTTTTTTTTAGTTATGTATTTTCTTACAAACCTGTTCCATTGTATTTTGTAAAAAATTTGTGAAGTCAACAAATTTCTTTCAAATATCCATGAAAGTTTTAACAAATAAATCTGTGATATTACAGTCTACAGGCAAATCAGTCACTGAAAACCTATAGCTCATTTAACTTTGCATTCATTTATTTCCATGTTGTAGTAAATAAGTAAATAATAAAATACTTTAATTATTAAGAACACATAATGTAAATAATAATGTATAACTGGCTAAGCAATGTTGTTACCATTTAATCGGTTACTGTCCCTTCACCTGAATTCTTGCAATTTACGATACTATATCACTTCTGATGTAAAATCTAATAATGCATGAATATTTTGGAAGTATTTTAAAAAATCTTAGAAATATTTATTTATCATTTACTTTCAGCATTTCTTTGAAATATCACTTTAAACTTTGGTTACAGATTGTTCTATGAAAATTTTTCTTCATTACTTGAGAGAAATTATTTAATCTTTTCAAATATTTTTGGAAAGATTAAATACATTGGAACACATATATATAGAGATACATAAATAAAAAAAAATTGATTTCATTAAGAGAGGATAGAAAAAAAACCAATGATGAAATTTGTTGACACCGTGACAAAAACAATTAATCAATGTACGTAGACACCAACTAACAAAACCATGTGTAATTTTTGAACCTGTTTGATGTTTTTTTAAGATAAACTGAGCATTGTCAGCTGCATCAGCTAGTTATATAATAAATGATGAAAATATTAATTAATGTTGAACACTAAAATTATAGAAAGTAAGATTGTTGTAAGATGAGTAAATATGAATTGTTTTTATTATATAATTGAATATACTTAATAAGAAAAATGCTTGCAAATTTTTTTCAAATTTTAAGAATTTATTTTGTTTTTTAATTTATTCTTAGTGTTGTTTATAAATTTGTATTATTTTTATGAATGAAAATGATTTTTGTTTTATTATTTTATTAATTATTAACTGTCATATAAAAATCATTATTGAATATGTTTAGTTATTTGATAATTTAGACTGGCATTTAAAGAGAATTTAGTTTTAATGCTTGTCTGTGATATATATATATAAAACAAATTTCTGTCTTATAATTTTCATGTTTAAATTAAAATATTTTAATTTTAAACATGTATTTTATTAATTTATTTTTACTGTAATGTTTATAATAAAGATATATATCTACACAAACACATACATTTAAAAAAAAATGTTTACATTTTTTTCTAGTTATTAAAAATGTTGTCTATGTCATTCATATTTTTTTTTATCATAAAAAGATATATTTTTAATTGTGAAAGTAATTTTTTTAAATGAAATTTGTTCTTACAAAATTATAAAAATATTTATTATTCTCATTATTTTACTATAAAAAAGTTTTTGAATTAAAGTATATACTAGAAATATTTTTGATTAATTTTAATTCTGTTGCAAACAAGCAATTAATCATGTTTAAAAAATCAAATAACTTTAAACATTTCTGGAATTTGACATTTCATCTTCAGAATGATGTTGATAAAATGTGAAGCTGGAATGCTGAATTCTGAAAACGTTTAAGATTAAATTGACTTGACTTCTACATTACATAAGGTGATTGACTGTTCATTTGATTTAATTAGGAAGTCGGTAAAATCTTTTTCTTATTAATCTGTTGCAAATTAATGATTATTTTTTACTGTAAAAATATTCAATATTATTTCAAAAAATTTACATATTTTTGTATATATAAATAATTTTAAAATTATCTAGTTTTTATATCATTAAATAAATATTTATGAAATAGTTGGAAACATACAGAAGGTAATTACACTACATTTAGATATTTATTTCCAGGTCTGTTATTGTTTACTTTATTTTCATCAAAGAAAGTAAACAATAGTAGGCTTTGGTAGCTTTCAACAACAGATGAATCAAAAGGAAAAAAGTGCATTAAATAAATTTATTGTTCTTGAAAAACAAAAATAAATAAATTTAAAAAGTGGAATTTTAAAAATTGAACTTATTATAATGGAAAACTTAATAATTTTTAAAATTGTGAATTTAGTAANTTTTGAAGTAGATATGAACTAAAAATAAGATAATAAATCAGAATTAATAAATAAAACATCTTATAAATAAATGAATAAATGAGAAAATTTGTTTCTTTGTGGCACAGTTGTAACTGTGAGAAGCCTTTGTAGACACTTTTTTTATTTGTATTCATAGTGTTATTGAATTTTGTCAGTTTTTCTTTCAACTTTGCTTCTGGAAATTTATCTTTCTTTTTTTTTTAGTTATGTATTTTCTTACAAACCTGTTCCATTGTATTTTGTAAAAAATTTGTGAAGTCAACAAATTTCTTTCAAATATCCATGAAAGTTTTAACAAATAAATCTGTGATATTACAGTCTACAGGCAAATCAGTCACTGAAAACCTATAGCTCATTTAACTTTGCATTCATTTATTTCCATGTTGTAGTAAATAAGTAAATAATAAAATACTTTAATTATTAAGAACACATAATGTAAATAATAATGTATAACTGGCTAAGCAATGTTGTTACCATTTAATCGGTTACTGTCCCTTCACCTGAATTCTTGCAATTTACGATACTATATCACTTCTGATGTAAAATCTAATAATGCATGAATATTTTGGAAGTATTTTAAAAAATCTTAGAAATATTTATTTATCATTTACTTTCAGCATTTCTTTGAAATATCACTTTAAACTTTGGTTACAGATTGTTCTATGAAAATTTTTCTTCATTACTTGAGAGAAATTATTTAATCTTTTCAAATATTTTTGGAAAGATTAAATACATTGGAACACATATATATAGAGATACATAAATAAAAAAAAATTGATTTCATTAAGAGAGGATAGAAAAAAAACCAATGATGAAATTTGTTGACACCGTGACAAAAACAATTAATCAATGTACGTAGACACCAACTAACAAAACCATGTGTAATTTTTGAACCTGTTTGATGTTTTTTTAAGATAAACTGAGCATTGTCAGCTGCATCAGCTAGTTATATAATAAATGATGAAAATATTAATTAATGTTGAACACTAAAATTATAGAAAGTAAGATTGTTGTAAGATGAGTAAATATGAATTGTTTTTATTATATAATTGAATATACTTAATAAGAAAAATGCTTGCAAATTTTTTTCAAATTTTAAGAATTTATTTTGTTTTTTAATTTATTCTTAGTGTTGTTTATAAATTTGTATTATTTTTATGAATGAAAATGATTTTTGTTTTATTATTTTATTAATTATTAACTGTCATATAAAAATCATTATTGAATATGTTTAGTTATTTGATAATTTAGACTGGCATTTAAAGAGAATTTAGTTTTAATGCTTGTCTGTGATATATATATATAAAACAAATTTCTGTCTTATAATTTTCATGTTTAAATTAAAATATTTTAATTTTAAACATGTATTTTATTAATTTATTTTTACTGTAATGTTTATAATAAAGATATATATCTACACAAACACATACATTTAAAAAAAAATGTTTACATTTTTTTCTAGTTATTAAAAATGTTGTCTATGTCATTCATATTTTTTTTTATCATAAAAAGATATATTTTTAATTGTGAAAGTAATTTTTTTAAATGAAATTTGTTCTTACAAAATTATAAAAATATTTATTATTCTCATTATTTTACTATAAAAAAGTTTTTGAATTAAAGTATATACTAGAAATATTTTTGATTAATTTTAATTCTGTTGCAAACAAGCAATTAATCATGTTTAAAAAATCAAATAACTTTAAACATTTCTGGAATTTGACATTTCATCTTCAGAATGATGTTGATAAAATGTGAAGCTGGAATGCTGAATTCTGAAAACGTTTAAGATTAAATTGACTTGACTTCTACATTACATAAGGTGATTGACTGTTCATTTGATTTAATTAGGAAGTCGGTAAAATCTTTTTCTTATTAATCTGTTGCAAATTAATGATTATTTTTTACTGTAAAAATATTCAATATTATTTCAAAAAATTTACATATTTTTGTATATATAAATAATTTTAAAATTATCTAGTTTTTATATCATTAAATAAATATTTATGAAATAGTTGGAAACATACAGAAGGTAATTACACTACATTTAGATATTTATTTCCAGGTCTGTTATTGTTTACTTTATTTTCATCAAAGAAAGTAAACAATAGTAGGCTTTGGTAGCTTTCAACAACAGATGAATCAAAAGGAAAAAAGTGCATTAAATAAATTTATTGTTCTTGAAAAACAAAAATAAATAAATTTAAAAAGTGGAATTTNAAAGTATATGAATACACAATTCAACTGATAATATAGTTATCTCAAATGATAACCTGTTTTTATTCATTCATAAACTTTTATTGTTATTGTGCTGCAAATTAGCACGTAGTCAGCTCATTTGTTTTCTTGTAGTCAGATAATTCATTATTTTTTAAATCTAACCTTAATTATTGTAAACTATTTACAGCTATTATTTATATAGTAATAAACTTTACCCGATTTCATAGATTTTAAATTAAAACACCTGGATAAAAACAATTTCATATTTCAAAAACTTAATTTCTAATACTTTTTAAGTTTAAAAAAAAAATTTATATATATTAATAACTTTTAAATAGCTTTAAAAATTGAATACTTTCCAAAAAAAAGGGGCATTGCAAATTACTTGCCATATGTAAACTGACTAAGACAAAACCTTTCTCACTTTGTTTCTAGCCATTTAAACAACGAGTAGAAATGTTTTCGGCCTCCTTAATAGGCCTTCTTCAGGTACACTGTGGTCTGGCAGAATGTCATTTTAGATAGTTCTAGCTCCAAAATTCATAGAAACATATGTAAACCTATTAAAAATTTGAATATTAAATTGCATGTTGGAATATTTTAACAAAAATATTTCCAAATGTCCAAAATTTGATATTTATTTGTAAGATTTTTAATTTTAATCTAATTAACTTTATATAGCCTAATAATGATGATTTATGTAATTTATAATACTAATAATGTAATTTATCTACTGGATGCAGTGTAATGGTAATATTATATTACTTTTCCCACAAAATATATTTCTTTAGCAAATCCTATATTTTTTCATTTCCATGTGTATTCATTTGTTAGGATGTTTTATTTACAATCTTGTTGATTTTTGTAATTATAAAAAGTATAAAATTTTCAATAATTATTGTTATTAAAATAATAAAATCTGCACAAATCTAACATTAGATTTCATATTATCAATATGATCTCTAATTCTTAATTATTTTTTTTTTATGAAAGATAGAAAATTAGACAAGTTTTTTAACTTTATTTAATAAATCAAGTAAACAGATGAAAAGTTGAGCATAGCGCTTTGGCGCTCGTGGAATTTTAGGGAGTCGTTGACCCAAAGTTGATAAATGCTTGAATTGACGATAAAAGTTAAATGTTTCAAACGAATATAAACCACTTTGTCTTCATGTAGTTTCACCTAGATTCAAAAAAAGGAAAGAAACAAATTGAATATTTTGAAGAATTTAAGCAAAAAAGATAACTAATTTCATCATGCTTTTATCATCTTCAAGTAATGATTTTAATGATAATACTAGTTTAGCATTTTAATTGTTTGTCATCGCTATAAAGCTGTAAAATGTATTACGAATAACACCAACTTATAGGTTGGATATACTATAGTATTTTTTTGTGTAGTAGAAATGTTCATTTGACAAGTGTTACTGATATGTTAAAATTACAGTTGTAGAGTATTGCAATGGAGAAAGAAATTTATTTTTAAAAATTATTCCAATGGTCATTATAATTTTACAATATTTACAATTTATTATCTTAAAATTTATTAAATTGAATATTCAATCAGTTTTTCAGTTTGACATGTTGTTTGTAATTTTTAACATGAAATATTCGCCCACGAAATATATTTCTATGCTAATCATAGCTTAATGTACCATATAATGCTTAATGCACGGAATATATATATACATACAAGAGAAGCAGGATTTTGTTGTTTGAAGAGTAAATTTGCGACAGAAGTATTTTTCGATTAAAAACAAGATAGGATTTTATATTGAAAGTTATGTTATATATATTCAAAATGTGGCCTAAGACGATATATATGATATTGGTGTTTCATCCGAACTCACCTTCTGATGTGGCAGTTGTGAGCAGCTAGAGGCAGAATCTTAGAATGTAGTCTTGGTCAAATTGTCGTCTCCCTGGAAAAATACGGGAGATTTTTTCAACTTTATGGCATAGGAATAACGAAAAGATATTGAAAAATATGGAGTTATTAGAAATGTATAAACAAAACGAACGCGTAATTTATTGCACTCTTAGAATAATTCGCATGTTTTTGGAAGAAAGTTCAAATCGCGAATGCCATTGTCCGCATTATGAATAAGCAAACGTTCAATTCGATCGATCACGTGGAGGCACAACTCGTCCCACATCCGGGTTACTCTTCCTTCTCCGCTATTTCCTTCCCACTTTCAGTCTTCTGGTACCGTACTTAAGAATATTTACGTTTTATTATAAGTAAAGATGCTTTTTAATGTTTTCTAAGAAAGAAAAAAAATTTGGCACGAAAATTTTAATAAAGAAAAAATAAAGATAAAAAACAGAAGTGTACCATCTGTTAACCGTTAATTTAACCATATGAAATTTAATGTTTTGTTTGTTAAAATTAGCATATGAAATCTTAATGCAATGTTATAGATAAATAATTCGATATTAAAAAAACCGACATTTTTCTAACGGAGTAATCTGATAAATATAATCTTAAATATTTTTCCTAAGAGATACTTGAAAATAAAGGAGAATTTCTGAATGGCATTACAAGAAGCTATTAGTTCCGTTATTTTGGATTATAATAATGCACTAATGCAGTAAGAGTTTTGTAGCAAAGATTTACTTATTTATCTATTTTCATAATTTCATTTAACTATGAGCAAAAGAAGGCGAATATTTCATTATAATATTAACAAGTAACTGAAACTGAACCTAACTGCCCGTGAATGATGAATGTATTACGCTTTTAAACGTTGCTGATATTTTTGATTAAATTTTATGCATCGTTTCCTTGCCCAGGTGAAGCTCTTGAATAGATTGTGTTGTCCATGAGAAATATCTCTTTTCTTAGATTCCGACATCATTAACCTTGAGTCTTTGTTTAGATAAACAGAATTCATTTTGAAATAATTTTACGAAGAATTCAGAGGCCTCTTAAAGAAAGAAAAATTCTTAAAATTGTTTATATTGTATTGATTAATATCACGTTATCTAGCAGTCCTTAATAGCTGATGTATATATAATATCAGACGTTCTTTGTTGATACTGTCACGAGTTACGACATCTGCCAGTGTGCCAGATGTCCCGTAGTTTGTCGTATCGATTGCCTTGATAGGAAACCAGTGACTTGTTTCAGAGGTGTTGATTGATATATTGATACTTTACATTGAAATTCGAGATGTATCCAAAAGTATCGGATACTCGGTATTTTGCATATCAGTTCTTTGTTATGTATTATCATTAAGTAAAGCATAAAGCATTTAAAAATTTTTGAATTTTTAAATGGAAAATGTAATTACCACAAATTCGTGGGTGTTTGCCTTTTGCTTAATTCAGTCATTAAAATTCCAGATCGTATTAAAATTTTTAATTATCAGTTATCCTTTGTCAGCGCTTAATCCGTAATTTAGATAAAATTAGAAAAGGCCTCAAATTATATTTAGTTAATAAATGTACTTTCAAACCAGTTTTCACTTTATTTACTTATTTAGAAAGCAGTATAATTAAAATTTATTAAGTAATGTAATTAGAACTTCATAATTCCATATGAAGAAACATAATGATTATTTTTATACTTTATAGAATCGTGAAGTTTTACATATAAGGACGTTAAGTTTTTATTTATTTTTAAAAATATAGAATAAATATTTTGCATGGGATCCTGATGGAACTAAGGAATTAAAATCTAAAAGAAAGTCATATTAAATCTTTAAAAAAATTAATATTTTATTGAAAACTGATTTCTATTGATTATCCAATTTATTTATTTTTTGAGAGAATGGATTTTTTTATAATTTTGAATTATTAATGTAAATTGAATACATTAAGCAAAAGAAACTGACTATTGATTTATATAAATAAATTAACTTATAAAGTCTAAGACACTTAACTTTAGTAACTAAAATTCAGAATATATGATGAGTTTTCTTAATATTAGTGCCATTCAAACATAAATCAAGAATTATTATAGAAAAATCTTAAAAATTGTATTATTGTGAATTTCTGTAAACTTAATATAAATTAACTGATGAGCAAAATCAGATAAGGAAATAACATTATATTTTATGGTAAAGAAAAAGCAAATATATTGGCAATAATCAAAACACAATTTAAATATGATTGGAAAATTTTGTAATGAATTTAAGATAATAAGAGAGTTTAATACTTACATATATCCTCTGTTCATCCTACAAGCTTGACCCGTTTCATTAGGTGGAGTGCCATAATCCTCGGATATCCACGTATGGCAACATGGGAATTCCCCTGAAGTATTACGCAAGTCCCTGTGGAGCACCAAGAGCAGAGTAGGATTGACAAAGGCATGAACGAAAGCGACATGCAAAGTCACCTCGTAAGTAATCGAAGATGCATCAACCTTAGGATGGATGAGAGTCAGAGTAAACAACGGCCCCCAAAATATGATATAGGCGGCAAGGATGATGGCAAAACTTTTAACTCTTCTCACTCCTTCCTGTTCCAGACGATGAATGTATCCTTGGATATGTTGAGATTCGCAATTGTCAACATCTGATCTGATAGATATCATGGTAGTTACAAGACCAGCTATCCTAACTGCTTCCAAGTTTGAACGAGTTAAATCCCTATATAGCTTCCTTAAATGAATTCCAGTTAGAGCTACGCACAGAACGTTCACCGTTACCCAGAGAACGCTGAGGACGTAGTTCCGTACGGGTGCATACACCATGGGGCACGCATCTAGGTGCCCAAACTCTCTGGTACTTGCGAGTGCACCTCCAAGTAAAGTCGGTCCGAGATTAATGGTGAGGCTCGCGAACCAAATGATGAACAGACCAAAACCGATACACTGGGGACTATCCAGGAAGAGTGGATTTGCATCAGATACGGAGCCGGGTCTCAAAGTACCCGGGGGAAGGGCAGATGGATCTTGATCTGGTAATAATGATGCATCGTTAATAACTGAAGTAAGCATATTTACTGTTGATACGGTGACTAGTAGGAGAAAAGCCATCTCGATGTAAGAACATTTAGGAAGCTTCTGACATAACAAGATGCTTACTCCCAGAGGTACTAACAGGCTGGCTCTGCCACAATCCACTAAACCCTGATGAAATAACAGTCCTTGCGACCATCTGAAGAAATAAAAAATACGATATGATGATAAATAATGATAGTTAAATATCTAGTAAAAATAAATTTTAAATATATCTGAGATTAATACGAAAATCAGTTACGAAAATAAAAACAAAGTTTTTATTTTGAAAAAAAAAATTAAATAAATTACAAACTCTAAGAGAAAGGAATATCTTAAAACTTTTAATAAAGTGTCAAGCAGAATTTAAATAGAAAATTAATATTTTAACACCATACGTTAGCATTACTTGTCAACTTTGCCTTTGCTTGATTGCCTTTAATCAAAAATTATAACGTCGGGTGGTTATTTTAACTATTATTTATTTAATTTCAATTTTTTTTTAAAAACATTAAATAGAATTTTTAAAAAACTATTATATAATCTGTTGCTTGTTGAATTCGAGTGTAAAATTTTAAATAATATACATTAAATATTTGTTGCGATAATTTATATATAAAAATTGTATAACTGAAATTAAAGTTCACATATTGACGAAGTAGTTCTTTGTATTGATAAGTTACTGTCTTCAATCCTCCCTGCAGCTATACCTTGCCGGAACTGTCGCCTTATAAATCATAAATCACATTTACATACTTTTTCCGTCAATGTGTGAAGTTTAGTTTTAGTTATACAATTTAATATAATTTTTTGTTATAATCGAACGTAATAAATCCGTATAATTGACTTAAAAACGAAGAAGATTATATCTAAATTTGAAAATTATTAGAAGATTTATATTAAGTAATTAAACTGAACTTTAAATAATAAAAATTTTTATGTTTGATGATGTTTTAGATGATCATTGGTTTTATTAGGAAGCTGTCAACAATATTTAATAATAGACTTAATCCTGAAGAATTATTAGTTCTTGAGACTCTCGTGTTATATTATTTGTGTTAAACTGTAAAAAGTATGGTACTATAACAATCAATTATTAAATAATTGATTGTTATAGTAGTATACTGAAAGAACAATATTAAAAATTAAAAAAAATATATATGTATTTGAACACGCAATTTTTTTTTTATTTTACAAATAATATAGAATATAGTTTAATGAGTTTTATAATTTTTTAATTGTTAATTATTAATTTAATTATGAATCATCATCACCATCATTAGCATTTTCAAATTTTATATGCATCAATATGTATGCAAATAAAGAATAAGATGATGATAAGGTTAAGAATAATGTGCAAATACGTTTCAAAAAATCGTAAGGACGTTAGATTTAAAACAAAAATATAGTCTATATTTAAGATAGACTTATTTTTTTTTTTGTTTTAAAATTAATGATTTTAAGATCCTCGTACTAAACTTAAGAGTATTATAAATTTTTAATTTCTGTCTAGTCCATTATGTGCTTGCCAGTATCTAGCAGAAACAAATCAAATCCGGTCTGAAATTCTTTATTTCTAAAGTGACAAGAATCAAATATTTGGAGAAGTTTGTATCAAAAGTAAATATCTGAAAGCAAATTAGTTTCTATTGTCTTATTTTTGAATCTATTGTTATTTTATGAAAATTATATGTAAATAACAAGCGTCAAGTAAGTTACGCCATTTCAAGCGTATAAATTAAGAAAATTCTGAATATTGACTTAAGAACATGAGAATAAACAAATATTTATTGAATTTTTTTTTTTTTTACTTATTTATTCAGATCTTAAATGAAACAAATGTAATTTTCATGCAGCAATGTTGAGTAAATGATGTGCACATTTATTGTTAGAAGATTCGGTTGTTTATCGATTATTTTATGTATATGCATAATATAATAGTCAAAATTTAATACAATAGAAAATTTCTACAAGGAATAAAAATTTATCAAATTTATTTACACTTTTGTTTTAAATTTTTAAAGTAAATAAATCAAATTCGAAGAAGAAAAGGGAGAGGGGAATAAAAAGAAATTATTTAATGATAGTTTCGTCACGTTTATTGAAATAATTTATGCAAGTAAGCTGATCGTAAAGAGCATAACGAACAATTTTTTTACTGTTAAAAATCATTCAAAACTTTAATAAACGTCTAAAAATAATTCTCTTAGTCATTAAGACATGACTACTGGTAGATTATTAAATTCCTTCGGATCTATAAAATATCAGAAAGAAGTTCAAGGCCAAGAATCAATATTATTATTTCTCAGTTGCAATAGTAATAATTGAGCGATTTCTACATTGTAATCGACCGTAAAGAGAACTATTAAAAACTTTCAATATATCGAAATGAGATAAAAGTAGCGAACAACTTGCTTAATGACATCGACACGAGAATGTTGATAGTTTTTCATTATGCAAAATTTTTATTATACGTATATGAATATATATATTAATATTTAAAACAATATATTGTTATCTGAGATGAGAGACTCACACCTTCTTAGCGGGCGCTTGAGAATGATAAGTAGCATGAGGAAGAGATTAGCACCCATTCCTAGAGCTCCTATAGTGAAGAGTACTATAGCTTCAGTAGTCTGTGCGGGATGACAACTTTGCGATTTCACTGTCTGGTTAACTGGTAAAGTGGCATTAGCTGCACTTACTACCCGAGGCACGTTCATATCTTCCACCTTTCCTGGAAAAAGAAAGTAGTTAAGAAACCGTTTTTTTTTTCTAATCTTATTTTTTAAAATATAAAATAATATGATAATGTTCTTATTATTTTTACGTATTTAAAAAAGGATAATTTAAAATTGAATAAGGTAACATTTTATGATAGAAAAAGTTTAATCCTCTTACGTTATATATATATATATATATATATTTTTTTTTTTATTCCCCCTTGTCTTACAAGTTTAAAGTTGACATTTTACTACAGTAGTATGTGTTTATGGAAGAATTCGAGTGTACTTTCAGTTTCGATTGTCGATTGCTTGTTACGAGTTCTTTCGAAAAGCATGAGAATTTATAGAATTTTTACCAATTCTTAACAGTTTCAAATGCAAAAAATTCCATTGGGTTTTATCTTCTTCGCTGTCGAATTTCAATGACTTTTTTCCCCAATATGAAAAGTTTGCTATAACTATTTCCAAAGTAATTCGGAATGATGTTAAATGATATTTTTAACATAAATGCTTACATTTTTTTTTTATTTAACTAAAATAAGCTTTATGTTACAGCCAAATTCTTATAGCTCATTATTAGAATTGAATTTTTTGGTAATATTATAACCTTATCTTAATTATTTTTAATTACAAATTATAATGTATTATATTAATATATTTAAAGTTTTCTTTGATTTTCAGGTTAAAGATTTAAGCTTACATTAAAAAAATAATAATAATAAATAAACATTGAAATCGTGCATGATATAATATTTATCTTTTTATGTAAATATAGAACTTAAACATAAAATAATTAGTAGTGAAAATGCTGAATATCTTTGCCGAAAATAACTCATTTAAATATATTTCTTCGAAAAAATAATTCGTCCTTTAAATTAATAAATTCATCAATAACATAATTTGAATTATATTATTGATATATACTGTTGATATTGTTTCCAATTTAAAAAAATAATAATAGTCTACTAATTTGGCAAACTTGCTTCATTCGACGAGTTCCAACTTTCATCATCAAACATTATGGAAACTCCAATATGGTTATTAAATATAGTTCAAGATTAAAATATGTGGAATTTATTGTTGTTTAAGCGACTACGGTTTTGCCAACGTCAGCTACATTCGAAGGACAAATCAATAAAAGGCATTGAAATATCTTTCTGAAGCATTAAGAGGTTTTATTTCTTAACTGATCGAAACAAATGGTTTGTGATCCTTCGTCCTCTTTAACCATAAATACAGAGATGCATTGATATATGAATTTTAGCTTAGTCCTGGAATTGGTTCTGTACATGTTCCACTTACTATGTTTTCCTCTTTATTGAATACATATGTTCTCTTTTTATCGAATTTATTCCACTTCTATAGAATTTCAGTTTTTATGGAATGACTTGTCTTATATTAAACTTTGGTTATCAAGAACTTTTGTATATTTCAGACTTTTTTAATACTTTCTATATCTGTTAAATTTATATGTAAACATAAAAAATATTTTCTTTTTCTTATAAAACAAAATGATATATATATATATAAATTTTTTTTAATTGATTAATTAATTTCTAAAATTATAATACCAATTTAATATAAAGACTAATTATATATAATTTAATTTTCTACTATTGACAAAATAATTGTATTTTTAATGCAAATTAAATATTAATTTAAATATATTTTTGTACAGAAATGTAGTTATTTTTATACACATATACAAAACATTGATTTTTTTTTAGTTTTGAGGGCGAGAATTTATTTATTAAAAAAAAAAACTCAAATCAATGTTTAACAGTTTCTCCTTCGTTTTGCATATCATTGAATCAAATAATTGATTTTTACAAAGTTGAAGAACCATATTGGTAGCATCGTTTTATTCTTTTGCGTAGATGAGAAAAGTTCCTCGTTAACCATTTGTTTCTATGCTAGACTTCCTACTCTGCATGGTAACTGTGATATTGCGTGACTCTCTTTCAGTAACAAATGACGCTCATTTTAGATCTGATATGATGTAAAGCTTATATTAAAAAGACTGACTGCCGTATTTAAATTTTCGACCTTCATAATTTAAACTTGACATCGAATTGAGTTTTACGAATAGATCGTTAATATATATATATATGTCTGTGTCTGTGTGTGTGTATATGTCACACAGCCTAATCTTTAATAATCCCTTCTAACGTGAAATTTCCTAATTTGTGAAACCTTTCCTTTACTATTAAGTATTCAGTTGCTAAGATGATTATTTTATTTACTTATAAGATTACGCGAAAATAGAATAACAGTTGGTAAATTGTATTAATCAAAGCATTTACTGGTTGAAGTATTATTTTTATTTGAAGTCGAGTAAAATTGGAATGCCCCGTTAACAAAAGTTATTGCAAAACAATGCGAAATCTATTCAAGAGAAAGATTCTTTATAACATTTTCAAGATTGAATGTGTGCATTATCCTTGAAGTGTTTGTATTCTGTATTCAGATATCATTTTTTTGATATTATTGATCTCTTAGGCTAGCGATTGTTTCAGTCTTTACTACATACATTCCGATTAATCTTAACTTCTTATTTTATCTATATCGAAATAATGATTTCTTATCCATATAAAATTCATATATTTTGTAATATTTTTTAATAGTTATTAAAATTAAACAAATAAAAATAGTGAAGTTTCCATTGGTTCTTCAAAAATTTAAGCTATGGTTGTATTGTTCTATTCTCTTTATAGAAAATAAAATGTGATTAATTTCCACGCCAAGTTCCGCAAATGGAGTGGATGATGAATTACATTTATCTGAATTTATATTTGTACAAATAGACTATTTTTCATGTGAAACGATATTCATAATACTAGTCGTATAGAATAATAGATTTTAATGAGAAATTTCAGATAAACATTAACAAGATTACGTGCAGAGAATGGATAAAATTCGATAACAGTATGTAATGTTCTAACATTAAAACAAGAACAATGAACGACAACGGGTTACTTTATTTTTTACGATCTCTACTGACAAAATTAACTTGTTTTGCCTCGAGTCATTAACACTCTTATGAGACGAATAAAATGTTTTTCTTTTTGTTGACCCAAGGCACCAATTATTAGGGAACAAACAGTTGGTTTTGATGCCATGATCTTCATCTTATCTTTTTAGATAATTAAATTTCTTGTAGGTAATAATGAAGAAAACGGCAAAAATTTCTTTAATATCTTAAAGTTTTACCCCTAAAATTTAATTCTCACTATATTAATATAGAATGTTTCCAAGTGAGAAAGGAATATTATAATAATAATAATATGGATACTTTTGCTATTATAATTTGCCTATGTATTAAATTAAAATAAGTTTTTAATTAAAATTACTATAAACACCGCATTATTTTATCCTTATTTTTCTGAAAAGAGCTAATTATCTATTTCATAAATTACATTGATTTTACAATTTCTCTCTCTTTAGCTGTTTCCACATAAACACATTAAATATTTTCATTATAGAAAATATTGTATATTTAAATATCCGGAAATGAGTTATTAGATTCTACAAGCAGCTTGCATCACACGAATTCCGACCGAAAATTATATGTTAAAGACCATACAAAAGCATAAGTTACATGGCTGGTGGAATCTAAAGGGTTAATCATTTCAAAACAAGATAACCAACACGAAATAATATCAAACATCATTCACAGAAAATTAGATACAACACAAAATTACCAATGAAACTTTCATATTTATTTTAACTACAAACGTGTGTAAGCAAAATTTTTATAAATATTTGATCACGCAAATATATATTTGAAATTACAAAAAAAAAAAGTATTTAAATTCTAAACAATAACTGTCGTTATTCATCGTTAACGAAAGTAAATAATTATTTTATTTTATTTATAATATCTACAGTTAATGTATAAATTTATAAGAAATGTATTGTTAATTTTAATGCATTTATCAAATGAATTGCTCTTAATTCTCTGAAAATAGAGACAATTACCCTATTTAAAAAATTATTTTATTGAGAAAATGTATCTAATTTTATGCTTTATTTATTTATTTTAAAATAGCTTACATTCTCAAATATTGTATTATGGGAGAATAAAATATAAAATTTAGAATTAATTTACTTGAACAATTTATAAAAATGATAGTTATTTTTTGTATCATTGACAATAGAAAAACACTAGCTTTTAAGTTTAAGAAATATTTGAGATTTATATTATATGAAGTAATGTCTGGAGAGCAAAAAAGAAAAAACAAAAGCAAAAAAGGAACAACTTTTAGTTGAAATGTGGCTATGTCACAACAAAATCAGATCTTTTTATAGAAGAGAAAACAAGACAGAATTAGATAGAAGTTGATTGTGGAGTAGAGATAGTGATTCTTATACGGAAAAAAAAGAATATTGAATTTAAAGTGAAAGAAAAAAATAATAAATAATAATAAAAAATTCGAATGGATGAAAGATGATTCTTACAGTCAGAACTGTTGTTATCAATAAAGATAAAAAGATAATATTAAATACTACGTCTGAAAAGTTGAAATTTATAATTTTTAAATGGATAATATAATAAAATTTGCGGCAATAAATTATTTAAAAACCACTTAATAATTTTATGCTTTTGAAAATTATTTAGTTTTATTAAAATCAATAAAAAGAAAACAGAAAAACGTTTTAAAATTATTAATTTTTTTTTCTATTTAATGTAACTTAATATATTGTTTCAGTACTAAAAGTGTTAGCATATAATTTTAATGAAATAAATTTTTAGAGCGGATTGTGGCAAATATTTTTTTTGCCGTTCTTTAAAGGAAACACAATGTTTTGCTTATAGGGTATCGTATACTGCGATGCTGATCCTTTGGGAAATATCGCTGGCAGTCATCCATCTTGTATTACTTGCCTCCCACCAGTTACAGATGAGATGAGCAAACTGAGAAATGTGAATTGCCTATTCCGATGCAATCTTTTCCATTGTCTTCATAGAATTATTTATTGGAAACCTAATTACCTAATTTAAGAGATGTGAGAAAAGTTCGACTAATTGTCTTATTAGTTACCACTAAGCTTGTTTATATTCTTTGCATATTTAATGCACCCTCAAGTATTCTGACTATTTTTAAGTTATATATTATCTAAAGTAGAAAAAGAGGAAGATGGGGGGAAGCGGATGGAAAAATTAAATCCGTTAGCGTGAAAATCAAAAATAGATTATTACAGGCAGAAATTAATTTTATATTCTCGTAAGTAATTTAGGTAAGAAAAAAAAAAGAAGTTTTAGGCTGTTCCAAAGACATCAGCCGTTCATTATACTCGTGCGTTAGACTGCCGGTTATGTCAGATGCGCAGTAAACAAATCGAATCAGGGAACCACTAGTTTATCCAAGACGTAAACTGGAACTGTACCGGGTCAGCTTGATTTCGATCGATTCGCCTTTAGTCTCTGCTGCGTGGGAAAGCACTCTCCTGGACGTTTTATTACTGATTTTTCTGTTGTCCACCCACATAACTTCCGCACTCTGAAATTTAATTATTCATCGTTCTTTGCTTGGTTTCGTCTTTTTTTTTTCCTACTAATTATGACATTAATTTTTTTCTCTCCTCGCTAAACTCGCTCTTGGCTAATTCACCATTAATTCATTAAAAATTCATAGTGAAATTGAGACAAGTAGATTATCGAGATATTAATTACTCGCATTTATAAATATGATCCTTTTCTTAACCTTTACGTAAAACTGATACGTTAAAATCTAATTTTAAGCTTTATGTATTAAGAAAATGGCTTAGTTTTAATGTATTTTTCTATATATATATATATATTAAATTAAAGCAAATTGCTAAAGTTAATATATTTTATTTATTTAAACATATAATAAATGTATTAAATATCTTGTGTAAAGTATATTTAAATGGCTTGTAGTTTGTTCAGTATATTAAATAGTATGATTCTGCAAAAAATATATTAAAAATTACCTAGTGCAAAAGTTTTCTATGATAATTGATTGAGCATGTTAAAAATTCAGAATATAGATATTAATAACTGATTGTAAAGAAAAAAAAATAGAATTTAAACGTAATAAAAATATTAAAAATTATATATATATATACTGTATTTTAAAATATTCAGTGATAAAAATTACTTTTACTAAATTATTCATTATAGTTCTATAGAAATTTGGCGCCTGGAGCCTCATAGAATTTTTTTTTCCTCTACTTAATTGAATTTTTTTTTTATTACTGCTGTCATTATTAACGTCTTCCGCTAGTCTTATATTACTTCTCTGTAATGATATTGTTCGTCCTTAAATTTTACCTTACAAACATTTTAGTTTTCACCCCTTCATCTATACTTGAATTTCCTCTTTCTCTAATTAGATTTCTATAAAATATTTATTATAAAGTAGTTATTCATGACTTAGCGAATATAAATAAGTGGACAGGAAAAGAATTGTTGTAACAATAGTAAAAAAGTATTGAGAAAATAACTTTCGAGATGAATTTTAGATGATTGATCACAACTAAAATATTTTTACATTTATTGTAATAGAATGAAGTAAAACAAACGAAGTTAAAATATTGATGATAAAGAAAAAATAAAAAATAACAGTTCGATCCATTTATCCAATTTTCTTAACGTCAAATTTGCTTAACTCGAAATTTCGAGATAACTCAAGAATTTAATGTCTACAATAACTAATTCTAAAAATAATTAATTAGCTATTGTTATCTTATTCATCAAAATTAAAATAGTAATAAAGATTGTAGGAGCCTGAAAATAATTTAAAATATTTTATTTCTCAATAAAAATAATAATCTTTTATATAAATTTTTTTTAAAAATTAATTTATATTCTTGCCATTGTATAATGTAGGAGCATGCTTTTTGTATAAAATTTTTGAACTATTGTGTAATTTTATTTATTTTTTAAATTGCAATTCATATGATAAAACTAGACATTTAAAAAAAAAAGTTTTAAAATACCTAGTTTCATATAGAATAAATTAGACATTGTAAAAAAAATAAACATTTGAAAATTTTTTAAGGAAAATAATTATAGTATTCAACATTCAATAATTTTTCTAATTGCGTTAAATGATATATTTATATCAAAAGTTTTTTTGTTTTGTTTTGTAATCCTAAAATTCAAGTGTAATCGAGAAGCAGCAAGAAGTAGTCATTACGTTGCTTCTTTCATGCTTGTATAGGCCATTAGCCACACTTTTTATTTTTATTTTTGTTTTCTACAATGGATTGGATACAGAAATAATTATTAATGTAAGATATCTGTACAAATTATTGTGAGATAACCTGATATTTATCATGTATGATACGATAAGAAATTGTTTTACATTTTTCATTAAAATAATTAACTGAGGAATTACCAATAGAAAATTAATTCCTATTATCGAACTGTTGGATATAATTATAAGCTTTGGTTACTGTGTACTTTTGTGTACACTGTTTTCATTTTTTTTTTTAATGTTTTCGAAATATTTTAATTTCGGAAATAATTAAACATTTTATTATTTAATAAAATGTTGTAGTTTCTTAGGAATAAACAAAAAAATATATTTTTTAAAATAAGATTATATCCTAGAATCTCAAAAGTGTGTTCGTAAGAATGTACTGTATACAATTCTGAGTTGTAGTTGTGTTTACTACATTAATTTATTGTAACTACATAAATGTTCAGAATTTTTTCGTTTACATTTTATTCGAGAATAGTAAAGAAATGGATTGATGTAAGTAATTCGGAATATGCGAATATACTTTGTATGCATATTGTAAGTTAAACATGGATAGATACTTTTGTGAATAAATATTAATTGTCATAATCAGTACTGAAAGAGGAATTCCATACATTCCGGGCGATACTTGTTTTCATTTTTGTAGTATGGCATAAGATTTTAATAGGATCTGTTCATTTCTTTCACATATCTTGCACTAATTGATATAATAAGATTCTTTTTTTTTAAAATATTTTTTGTAAATTAGTTTTCTAAAAATATTTATCGTGATTTCGGTAATAGGCCATTTTAAGTTTGGCCATTTAAGAGATTATCAGAAAACAGTAGATGGTTCATTACCGACCGAGGTAACATATGGTTAGATCAAAATTTGATTTTCTAACATCAAAAATTGCTTAAATTCAATCAATTTATTTTTATACCCGTATTTAATATGTTAAAAAGTATACAGTTATATGTAAAAACGTGTAATAAACGTTTAAAATAGTGTTTATTATTTAAGAGAAGAAGGATGAATTTAAAACTGGAAGCATGGAAGATAAAAGCTTTACAGTTAACCAGGCGCAATTAACCAGCATCTCTTTTTAACGATTCTACTTAACGTAATCTATCCTACAGCAATATATAATAAAGTCTAATTTAAAACAGACGGAATTATTATTGCAAAACACATCGCTAGTGATACGTTAATCGATTGAACAACATAATGTCGACGCACATTAGTCAAACATAATCGTGTCTGGTGGCCTTCTGCTTCTTTCTTGGACAGGTATGCGGTATCTGCGGTGTTACGTACTGCGCAAAACGAAAGATATTGGTAATCATTATTAAAATTTTGTACTTACCAGCGTTCAGTTATTCCGCTTGAAGTCGGCCTCTCCCCCTCATCCGCCCCCCTAGTCACGACGAGAGGCGGGGATGGTTTGTAGAAGGCCAGCTTCCTTGGCACAACATAACAGTTGAACCTTGGTCGTCTTTCTACAGTCGACAGCTCAGCTGTGCATCGACTGCATGCCGCTACACACCGCATCTCTTGCTCCAGGATAACAGGTCCACCAATCCCCGTTCCCGGAGTTGTCCTAACGTAACAGGACGCGGGGGTGGTTGGTAGTTACCGCTCAATCGGACCTTTAAACGCCCAAATGGTTAGTGGTGCAATTCTAACCGCCCAACCAGATTACATTGATCTGTATATGAAGCGAAAAAGTATGTCTGACCTTTGCCATTTATCACTTCCACGTGACTAGCCAAACTGATGCTATTGGCCGCTTTCCGGACTTGATCTGTTTTCAACCAATTATGGATCGATTGCAAAGTTTAGGAATTCGTTATAATTTTAAGCCAAAAATGGAAAATAAAAATACGCTTTCAATAATATATATATATATATATATAAATGTTAAATTCGATTTACAGAAAAGTTTTATTATAGTTTCCATTTAAGTGTGATTTTTATAACCTACGTTTCCGCTATAAATTTCTAAGAAAGAAGGCAGTTGGTATCTATCTATCCATTAATCCTTTGTGGTTCATCCCACTTTTATCTAGGACGTGAAACGGTATGAGAAAGTTTAAATTCGACAAGAATAATCACAAATATGTTTGATGTATAATATTTAGCTCAGTTTCTGTTACTTTCTTTTAATTACCCACCATTTAATTAATTAAAATAATGGCATTCAAATTATGTTTCCTCGTTTGATGTAATATAGATTTTTTTTAAAAAAAGGAATAAAATAACCAATTTTTAATTACCTTTCAAAAAATTGGTTACTTATTCCATCATCATCATCATCATCATCATTATTTTTTTTTATTTTCTTTTTATTCAAACCCGAAAGACTGTATTTTAAAATATTCAGTGATAAAAATTACTTTTACTAAATTATTCATTATAGTTCTATAGAAATTTGGCGCCTGGAGCCTCATAGAATTTTTTTTTCCTCTACTTAATTGAATTTTTTTTTTATTACTGCTGTCATTATTAACGTCTTCCGCTAGTCTTATATTACTTCTCTGTAATGATATTGTTCGTCCTTAAATTTTACCTTACAAACATTTTAGTTTTCACCCCTTCATCTATACTTGAATTTCCTCTTTCTCTAATTAGATTTCTATAAAATATTTATTATAAAGTAGTTATTCATGACTTAGCGAATATAAATAAGTAGACAGGAAAAGAATTGTTGTAACAATAGTAAAAAAGTATTGAGAAAATAACTTTCGAGATGAATTTTAGATGATTGATCACAACTAAAATATTTTTACATTTATTGTAATAGAATGAAGTAAAACAAACGAAGTTAAAATATTGATGATAAAGAAAAAATAAAAAATAACAGTTCGATCCATTTATCCAATTTTCTTAACGTCAAATTTGCTTAACTCGAAATTTCGAGATAACTCAAGAATTTAATGTCTACAATAACTAATTCTAAAAATAATTAATTAGCTATTGTTATCTTATTCATCAAAATTAAAATAGTAATAAAGATTGTAGGAGCCTGAAAATAATTTAAAATATTTTATTTCTCAATAAAAATAATAATCTTTTATATAAATTTTTTTTAAAAATTAATTTATATTCTTGCCATTGTATAATGTAGGAGCATGCTTTTTGTATAAAATTTTTGAACTATTGTGTAATTTTATTTATTTTTTAAATTGCAATTCATATGATAAAACTAGACATTTAAAAAAAAAAGTTTTAAAATACCTAGTTTCATATAGAATAAATTAGACATTGTAAAAAAAATAAACATTTGAAAATTTTTTAAGGAAAATAATTATAGTATTCAACATTCAATAATTTTTCTAATTGCGTTAAATGATATATTTATATCAAAAGTTTTTTTGTTTTGTTTTGTAATCCTAAAATTCAAGTGTAATCGAGAAGCAGCAAGAAGTAGTCATTACGTTGCTTCTTTCATGCTTGTATAGGCCATTAGCCACACTTTTTATTTTTATTTTTGTTTTCTACAATGGATTGGATACAGAAATAATTATTAATGTAAGATATCTGTACAAATTATTGTGAGATAACCTGATATTTATCATGTATGATACGATAAGAAATTGTTTTACATTTATCATTAAAATAATTAACTGAGGAATTACAAATAGAAAATTAATTCCTATTATCGAACTGTTGGATATAATTATAAGCTTTGGTTACTGTGTACTTTTGTGGTCTGGAGAGCAAAAAAGAAAAAACAAAAGCAAAAAAGGAACAACTTTTAGTTGAAATGTGGCTATGTCACAACAAAATCAGATCTTTTTATAGAAGAGAAAACAAGACAGAATTAGATAGAAGTTGATTGTGGAGTAGAGATAGTGATTCTTATACGGAAAAAAAAGAATATTGAATTTAAAGTGAAAGAAAAAAATAATAAATAATAATAAAAAATTCGAATGGATGAAAGATGATTCTTACAGTCAGAACTGTTGTTATCAATAAAGATAAAAAGATAATATTAAATACTACGTCTGAAAAGTTGAAATTTATAATTTTTAAATGGATAATATAATAAAATTTGCGGCAATAAATTATTTAAAAACCACTTAATAATTTTATGCTTTTGAAAATTATTTAGTTTTATTAAAATCAATAAAAAGAAAACAGAAAAACGTTTTAAAATTATTAATTTTTTTTTCTATTTAATGTAACTTAATATATTGTTTCAGTACTAAAAGTGTTAGCATATAATTTTAATGAAATAAATTTTTAGAGCGGATTGTGGCAAATATTTTTTTTGCCGTTCTTTAAAGGAAACACAATGTTTTGCTTATAGGGTATCGTATACTGCGATGCTGATCCTTTGGGAAATATCGCTGGCAGTCATCCATCTTGTATTACTTGCCTCCCACCAGTTACAGATGAGATGAGCAAACTGAGAAATGTGAATTGCCTATTCCGATGCAATCTTTTCCATTGTCTTCATAGAATTATTTATTGGAAACCTAATTACCTAATTTAAGAGATGTGAGAAAAGTTCGACTAATTGTCTTATTAGTTACCACTAAGCTTGTTTATATTCTTTGCATATTTAATGCACCCTCAAGTATTCTGACTATTTTTAAGTTATATATTATCTAAAGTAGAAAAAGAGGAAGATGGGGGGAAGCGGATGGAAAAATTAAATCCGTTAGCGTGAAAATCAAAAATAGATTATTACAGGCAGAAATTAATTTTATATTCTCGTAAGTAATTTAGGTAAGAAAAAAAAAAGAAGTTTTAGGCTGTTCCAAAGACATCAGCCGTTCATTATACTCGTGCGTTAGACTGCCGGTTATGTCAGATGCGCAGTAAACAAATCGAATCAGGGAACCACTAGTTTATCCAAGACGTAAACTGGAACTGTACCGGGTCAGCTTGATTTCGATCGATTCGCCTTTAGTCTCTGCTGCGTGGGAAAGCACTCTCCTGGACGTTTTATTACTGATTTTTCTGTTGTCCACCCACATAACTTCCGCACTCTGAAATTTAATTATTCATCGTTCTTTGCTTGGTTTCGTCTTTTTTTTTTCCTACTAATTATGACATTAATTTTTTTCTCTCCTCGCTAAACTCGCTCTTGGCTAATTCACCATTAATTCATTAAAAATTCATAGTGAAATTGAGACAAGTAGATTATCGAGATATTAATTACTCGCATTTATAAATATGATCCTTTTCTTAACCTTTACGTAAAACTGATACGTTAAAATCTAATTTTAAGCTTTATGTATTAAGAAAATGGCTTAGTTTTAATGTATTTTTCTATATATATATATATATTAAATTAAAGCAAATTGCTAAAGTTAATATATTTTATTTATTTAAACATATAATAAATGTATTAAATATCTTGTGTAAAGTATATTTAAATGGCTTGTAGTTTGTTCAGTATATTAAATAGTATGATTCTGCAAAAAATATATTAAAAATTACCTAGTGCAAAAGTTTTCTATGATAATTGATTGAGCATGTTAAAAATTCAGAATATAGATATTAATAACTGATTGTAAAGAAAAAAAAATAGAATTTAAACGTAATAAAAATATTAAAAATTATATATATATATACTGTATTTTAAAATATTCAGTGATAAAAATTACTTTTACTAAATTATTCATTATAGTTCTATAGAAATTTGGCGCCTGGAGCCTCATAGAATTTTTTTTTCCTCTACTTAATTGAATTTTTTTTTTATTACTGCTGTCATTATTAACGTCTTCCGCTAGTCTTATATTACTTCTCTGTAATGATATTGTTCGTCCTTAAATTTTACCTTACAAACATTTTAGTTTTCACCCCTTCATCTATACTTGAATTTCCTCTTTCTCTAATTAGATTTCTATAAAATATTTATTATAAAGTAGTTATTCATGACTTAGCGAATATAAATAAGTGGACAGGAAAAGAATTGTTGTAACAATAGTAAAAAAGTATTGAGAAAATAACTTTCGAGATGAATTTTAGATGATTGATCACAACTAAAATATTTTTACATTTATTGTAATAGAATGAAGTAAAACAAACGAAGTTAAAATATTGATGATAAAGAAAAAATAAAAAATAACAGTTCGATCCATTTATCCAATTTTCTTAACGTCAAATTTGCTTAACTCGAAATTTCGAGATAACTCAAGAATTTAATGTCTACAATAACTAATTCTAAAAATAATTAATTAGCTATTGTTATCTTATTCATCAAAATTAAAATAGTAATAAAGATTGTAGGAGCCTGAAAATAATTTAAAATATTTTATTTCTCAATAAAAATAATAATCTTTTATATAAATTTTTTTTAAAAATTAATTTATATTCTTGCCATTGTATAATGTAGGAGCATGCTTTTTGTATAAAATTTTTGAACTATTGTGTAATTTTATTTATTTTTTAAATTGCAATTCATATGATAAAACTAGACATTTAAAAAAAAAAGTTTTAAAATACCTAGTTTCATATAGAATAAATTAGACATTGTAAAAAAAATAAACATTTGAAAATTTTTTAAGGAAAATAATTATAGTATTCAACATTCAATAATTTTTCTAATTGCGTTAAATGATATATTTATATCAAAAGTTTTTTTGTTTTGTTTTGTAATCCTAAAATTCAAGTGTAATCGAGAAGCAGCAAGAAGTAGTCATTACGTTGCTTCTTTCATGCTTGTATAGGCCATTAGCCACACTTTTTATTTTTATTTTTGTTTTCTACAATGGATTGGATACAGAAATAATTATTAATGTAAGATATCTGTACAAATTATTGTGAGATAACCTGATATTTATCATGTATGATACGATAAGAAATTGTTTTACATTTATCATTAAAATAATTAACTGAGGAATTACAAATAGAAAATTAATTCCTATTATCGAACTGTTGGATATAATTATAAGCTTTGGTTACTGTGTACTTTTGTGTACACTGTTTTCATTTTTTTTTAATGTTTTCGAAATATTTTAATTTCGGAAATAATTAAACATTTTATTATTTAATAAAATGTTGTAGTTTCTTAGGAATAAACAAAAAAATATATTTTTTAAAATAAGATTATATCCTAGAATCTTAAAAGTGTGTTCGTAAGAATGTACTGTATACAATTCTGAGTTGTAGTTGTGTTTACTACATTAATTTATTGTAACTACATAAATGTTCAGAATTTTTTCGTTTACATTTTATT